TGAAGCCAAGACAGCATCCTTCCAAGACAGCAGGTCTTTAAGTACAAAGACCAAAGTGAATTGTGTTTAGATAGTTTATTTTTAAAGTAACTTATAACACAATGTAAATATACAATAAAGATACTGTGGCCATTTAGATTAGGAATACCATGAAATTATTTACATGTTGGCATAAGAATGTGTGTATATACACACACAAAGTGCAGATAAATACAGAAACACTACAAAATAAACAAAAAATTCAACATAATTTACTGACAATTATATTTAATTTCTCATGCTAATAGTTGCAAAGAAGCTCCTAGTACTGAAATATATCTAAATATCCAACTTTTATATAAACTATAGTACCTCAAATTTTAACAGTATATAAATAGGATTCTAAATTAAAAACTAAGGTATCTTCCCTGCCAAGCTCCCTATCTATGAAGATTTCAGCTAAAAGTTCACAAAAGACTCTTGAAGTTCCAGCCTTCAATAATGTGGCGGTATCTTGAGTTTTAACAATACATCATGTGAAGGCAATGTTCTCACATCAGTTCTAGTAGGTGTCATTCTCTGCACAAAGGTGGCTGATGGCTGTGAGATCACTGACACGTTTCCATGGACAGAACTACGCACACTTTTCATCTAAGAGATGGCACGACAGGGCGCTGTCAACTCCTGAAGGACACTCGCAACCCTTTCTAACAAGTGGTAGAAACATCTATGCTGGATGAGCTGAAAATGGCCTCTTTGATGGCTCCCTAGGAAGCACACTAACTCCATGCAACACCAAGAAATATTCATCCTCAACCTTGCCCTCTTCCTATGGGTCAGGAAGTAGGGATGACCTGTTGTTTTATTTATAAAAATTATTTATCTATTTATTTATTCAGTACAGGGTCTCGTTACATAGCTTGGACTCATAGTGATCCTCCCGTTTCAGCCTCCCCAGTGCTGGGATTACAGGTGTGCGTCACCATGCCTTGTTTTGGTGGCTGGCACACCACACTGGGGTTTTGGGGCTGGCCTGGAATGCAATACTGGGGATCAAACCTGGGTACTTGCACTTGCTAGGCATGCACTTAGATTGCCAAACTATCTGTCCAGCCCTAACAACATCTTGTGACTGTTGTGGAAATTTCTATTAAAAATAATTGATGTGGGTTGCTCTAAAATTACCTAAAATCTTACTCACAGACTAAATCATGTAAAAAGTCTGCACCATGCATAAGCCTGTTTTCCCAAAAATTATTACTGACAACCTGCACCTGAAACAGAAAGACAATTGGGAATGGGGTGGATTCAATCAGTGTGTTTGGGACACTGATTAGCTGACATACACCTGTTGCAAGTTTGAACCTGCAGGAGACTGCTTAGAAGTAAACTGTCAGGAAAGGCAAAACCACCTAAAAAATAGTTTTGATTTTTAGAAGGTAACAAAGGCAAGAGGGAAAGATTTTATAACAATTTCTATCATAAGGGACTATTCTCCTTGGCTCAAAAGGAAAATAACTCCTGGGCAAGAGTCAAACCTTTGCTTTTTATCTTTGCCAGGAGATAGGAGTGCAGAATGCTACCCAGTAATGTGAGGTCACGGTAAGAGCTGCAAGTTAGAAACGTACTGTGAAACCAAGGACGAAACCTGTTCCTGCGCTGGCCTGCCTTTGACTCCCATGAACATGTGTAAGTCCAATTAGATTCAAAGTGGTCACAGAGGGGCTGGGGATTTAGCTCAGTGGCACAGCACCTGCCTGGAAAGTGTGAGGTCCTGAGTTCAATTCCTTCTACTCCCCCCCCCCCCACAAAGCAAAGAAAGTAAATGCTGATACACCTTCAATATAGCCTGAGAATCCCCAATCTCAAAATTCAAAATCTAAAACCTTTTGACATGTACACGATACCACAATTGAAAAGTTCCACTCATGTAACTCAGTTTTATCTACTAAACTAGTAAATTATAAAAAAAATTGCTCAGGCTTTGTGTACAGGTGCATATGAAACAAATGAAGGTCCTGTTTCAACTGGGATCCCACCTGCATAGTACCTTATGTATATGCCATCATTCCAAATCTGAAGAACTCCCAAATCCAAACTTGTGGTGTTGATCTTTCAGGAAGGACTCTCCTGTGTTAGTGAGGAAGGTGTCTGATGGGGCTTTAGGGGACACTTCTAAGTGAGTGTCAGTGTCAACAGCAGCCTTTTTGACACTAAGATCTGAAGAATGAGGCTGGGAGAGAGGTTAGGAAGCTTCCATCTTCACAGGATTACACTGATTTTGAGACTTATTTTCTTAACAAGGAAGTTTGGAAGGCCTATGGAACGTCAGTTACAGAGGAAGACTCAGGTATCTTTATTTTTCCTATTTGGGAACCTGGGCAGTTTAGGAAAGTGGACAATTGAAGGTTGATTTTTTTCTTTTCTCTACCATCCCTCACAAAGCCACCAAAGGAGCCATTTGAGCATCTTGGTTATTCACAGAGACTACACAGTACAGAGAAGCAGGGCCACAACGACACAAAGCCATCCATCAGATATGGAGAAGCGACACCGCTTCGTCTTTCACAGACAGTACAGGAATGTAAAGGTGATTTTACTTTTCAGGTAGTCACATATCACAAAGCATCCTGCAATGGAATGCCTAGGTTCTGTGACTAACCTTGGTGAAGTAACAGCAGAGAAGTCACCTGTGAAATACGTAAACGCTCTGTATGCGGGGCTATTTGCATGGAGCACAGATAATTAATGGAAGGCCTCAGCCCCAGCCTGGCGTTGACTCCACTGCAGGCAGTGATGTAGGGGCATGCGATGCACGTTTCAGAGGCGTGGGTATGGCAATTCTGACACGGCTTTCCATGGGACCTGCAAGGGGACGTTTCTGTTACTGCAATGCTATTCAGTTTTGAGTGTGACTGTCTTCTAATGATTGGCATTACCTCCTTTGTGTAACTGATATTCCACAAGGAATGTGTTTTAGAGTACATGTGTTAGTTCTTCTGGTGCTCATACACGCCTTCCTGTAGGAAATGCACTCGAAGGAGAAACAGCTTTAGCCTGTCTGCAGTAGAAGGCCATGACTTGCTTACACAATCAATATGAAGAAAAGAAACCATCCTCATAAATCTAAAAGATTAAAACTTCTAACAAAAGTACAACATGAAGGCTGGGGTCACAGCTCAGCGGCAGAGCCCTTGCCAAACATGCAAGAGGCCCTGGTACAATTCCCAGCATCACAAACGAAACAAGAACTTCAAACAAAATCACAACATGAACCAGCACGTTTGTACCTTGTTTCTAGGAAGGGACAAGAAAGGCCACAGGATATGCCTCACCACTAGAAGGGACAGTGGGCCCCACAGCCATGTCCTGCACAGTGACTATGGACATACTCCTCAGTATGTGGAATGAGCTCCCAGACCAGTCACAATCAGGGGCACTCTTGTCTGCTAAGAGCAAACCAAGGTTGAGATTTCTTTATGCAGCTAGTGAAGTGATAGTGAATTTCTTTTTGAATCCAGTTAGTCTCTGAAAGAAAACCAAGTCTGCTTTGATTTGGCACTCGTTAGCAGAGTGCCGAGTAGCACGCGGGGTGCATACTCTGAGGGTGCCACACAGACGGGCTGGTGCGTGGGAAGGCTGCCCTCCGCTCCAGCTGGGGGCAGGCAGCGTGGGGCAGCTGCAGCCGAGCAGGAGCAGCTCCAGTGCTGCCTCGCAGTGCGCAGAGATCAACCACAGGCAGAAAAAGTAAAGAGGCACACCAGATGTTCCCGCTCATTCAGGATATTTTCAGACTCGGAGTACTTTTTGTTCATTTATTTCAACTCACTGACATTTCTTTCTGGTTGTGATTGTCTGCTGTTACTTTCTTTACTTGGTAATTCTAATCCATTAATTTTATATTTAAAAGCATAAATGGTCTCAGATATAGTTCTATGTATGTATTAATGTACTATTACTAGAGATATTAACTTACAGTAGAAGTGGAGGTTATAGATTTAATATGCAAAAAGTTTTACACAGTAAATACCTGAGTGTCTATAAAGTAGGCAAAATCTCTGACGGCATCAAGGCCAAGTAGGAAGGGCTGGGATAGGCCACTGGCAGGCAGCCAGCCTTCTGGAATCTTGAGAAGACCCTTCGCCACACATAGATATTAGACATAATATATTAGAATTATTGAAATAGAAATAACATAAAATGGTTAATGCCTAACCAGTTGATGATTTATATATAGATAGGTAGATAAACAGATAGATATAAATAAATGGGTAGTAAATCCCTATTTCTATGCACTATAAATTCAGGAAAATTCTGAGTAAAGGTCATAAACCAAATGACCTAAAGGAACTCACAGACAGACTATTCCTGCTAAAGATGACACAATTTCAAACTCTCTGGCTCAATGTGATTTAGGATTTCTGTACTTTTGTGGTTACTTTCTGTTTTAACTAAGCATAGAGTTTAGAAGGCACAGCTCTCATCATCTGTAGAAGAATATCTCAGTGGCCGAACTAGGTATGAAAATATTCTGACACAATACAGTGCTACGAGTAGAATTTAAGTGGTGGCCTTCATACTGTACTTCCGCAATCTTCCCACGAGAGTACCGACAGTGCTGGGATACCACCGTCACTCCACCAGGAGAAGATACAGGCATGTAATCTACAAGTGCTCACAGCCTTATCCCACAGTGTGAAAACAGGTTACGAATTCTCTAAAGCCAGAGTCAGTAAACTGAACCCACAAGTGAAATCTAGCCCACTGTAAAAATATTTCCCATTAGGCCTTGATAGGATTAATGTGGTGATTCCTGCTCGAACCCTGTGGAAATTGGCTGGAATTATGGACAGACTGTTTCTGGTGGAATCAGTGTATGACTTAGTTTGGCTTTCTTTACAGACATCATATATATACACTATTGCTTTTGGATATTATCATCCACTTAGAAAACAAATAAAAATAAAATTATGTTAAAACAAAGACTTATTTCCTTGAAATGTTCAGAACCAACAAAACAATCATACAAAAGCAGTGTATTTTTTAGAAAAAAAATAAATGAGCAATTTATATTACAGTTATAAGTAACGATTTCGGAATTCTTCAGAGAATGCCAGGTAGTAATAGATTTCAAAATCCATATAGCAGATTTCTGGTTTTCAAACTGTTATAGTATTCAGCACAGTATTTAAGATTTTTCAGTTTCTATGGAAGAAACATTGTAGAGAATTACAGTACTCATTACCAAAAAGAAAAAAAAAAGCCAAAAAAAGAAGGAACAGAATTTAAACATTTTTCCTTTTTCCATTAGTAGGGAACTATGCAGTCTGCTGGTGAAGAACTTGATAGAAATGGGCTGTTTTCAATTAGTGGGCAGATCCCTATATCTGTGTCAGATAAAAGCATAGCACTTATTATTTGTTACCATGGATACCATGAAGATACTGCCATCCACTAAGTAATATTAGAGGAAGACAACATAATTTTCTGGAACTAGTCCTGTTTTGCCTTCATAAGTTGCCTTTAACCATCCTGGTTCCACCGATGGGTACACTGGAAAACAAATTCAATCAACATTTGCTTCAAATAATTACATAACCTAGACAAATGGCTAAAATGCATATCAAATTCTACCTGTACATTCACACTATCAAAGCCAAACCAGTGCTACAGTCCCTCTCCCATTAGAGACGGAACGCTGTTTGCTTTCGTATCACCAACTTGTGTGCTTGTGTGTGTGTGTGTGTGTGTGTGTGTGTGTGTGTGTCTTGCTTTCATGTACAGACGAGCACAGAACTCGGTGCACACACGTGTCCTGCACAGAAGAACCCAGGACCCAAGAGGACCTGGTGTGCCCATGCATGAAGGTTTCACAGAGGCGGGCTCTAGGTTATAATCTGATGTCCATGGTTTCTATTTTAGCCCACTCCCCACAGTGTTCCTGCATCCTCCCCACGCTGCACTTCCATAAATCACACGCGTGTACTTACCATTAGAAAATATTGCCCCCTGGGGGAAGGACAGCTCATGGCTGTGCTCTGCTTTACAGGAGTACATGGCTTTGGCTTGTCTGAAAGAACAAGACGATCCATAAAAATCACAGCACTCAACTTGGGTACATCTATACTAAAGCTTTTCTTAAATGCTATTGATTATTATCAGCTGGAATACAATATACATAAACTGTACCTGTGAGTCGACATCAGTGCATTTTCTACACATTGAACTCAGCTGCATAACCAGCTCAAGAAACTGAACATGCTTGGTTCACTGAAAAATCTTGCATTTCCAAGCAATGCTTCTAAGGGAACCACCTGGCTTACAGTCAGCAGCATAGACTGGTATGAAGGGCTGCTATTACTTGTTAGGAAGCTGCTCAACAGGTTGTCTTAAAAGAAAGAACCAAGGTTCACACTAGCCCTAAAGCTTGTTTTAGTTTTTCCACTTCAATTTTCAGACTACCTCAGCCGAGATCTAAAAGTCAAAAGGCCTACAAGATAAGGTAGATATGCTGAGTGGTCAGCAAGTAGCAGAGACGTACATCAAGAAGAGCAGTTGCACGACTGGTGTTAGCTGGCAGCCAGCCTCAGGTTGGGGACACGGCAGGGCTGGACCTAGAGGAGCCTATTGGTACAAGAAGGCCAGCACGCACATCCCAGCAGCTGCTGCCATGTGTGACTCCAAGCACAATGCAGTCATAGTCTGGTTTTTCAAGAAAAGCCAGAATTTTGAGTTTCCTATGAGATCTGATTTTAAAATATTTGAGGCAACACTAAGAAGTCCTCCTCAGAGGCTGCTTCTCCAGACACCAGGCAAGTGCTGTCCCCTGCAAGATCCAGTGTCTTTGTAGGATGCATGGCTTCCCTGACTCCCCACTTACCCCTCCACGAGCAGGCTCAGGCCCATTCCCTTCTGATGTAGCTGACTGAGACTCTTCTAGCAGCAGAAGTTTCTAGACCTCCTCTTCTGTTCATTTATCATCTACTATCTGCAGGGTAATCTCAGAACAGCTTCAGATCACCTCAATTTAGTGATACCCAGCACCGCCAGTGGTCTGTCTGCCCTCGTCCCTGGCCACTCCACTCATCCCCGCCCTCTTCTTTCTCTACAAGGTCAGGCTCACTGAGCACAGCTCTGCCATCTCCATAGAATGTTTTTCTCTGGACTTTTACACACCTAAGCACTTAAATTCACCAGAAATTCCATAAGCTTTGCTGGAGGCTCAGGTCTTCCCTGACCATGGATGCAAATACTTGCCCAGACAACCACTGTCTTCTCCCTGTTCAGGTCTGTGTGGTGTTAACATGTGGTATTCTGTTTTGTTTTTGTCTGTTTGTTTGTTTATTTATTTTATTTTATTTTTTTGTATTTTAGGGAAAAGTCTATAGGGTGTTCAGAGTCTCACTACTAGATCAGACTCATAGTAACCTGCCTGTTTTACAGCCTCCCAAGAGTTGGGATTACAGGCGTATACCACCACACCCAGTCTCAAACATTGTCTCATGGTTCTTTTTCTTTTTTTCTTTTTTGCAGTACCGGGGATTGAATTCAGGCCCTTGCACTTGCCAGGCAAGTGCTTATTCTACTGAGCTATCTCCCTGGCCCTTGGTATTCTGTTGTTATTCACGAAATTTTTGTTAATTTCTTCCCCAACTACAATGTAACCTCTACAGAAGAGGCCTGAAGCTTAGTAGTAACTAAATATTTTGTAGTAACCCAGTAAATACTTGGTAAAGGGTTAAGTAAAAGAAACATGCTTCAGACTCTTCCTGGGTGACAGGCCCCTCAGAGACGCAAGGCAGTCTCAGTATCCCATCCTGACTCCCCACCTCCTGGAGCCACACCCACAGGGCAACACTTGTCTTCTCCCAAGCTCTAGCTCTTCCTCACGATCTCACTGCCATTAGATTAGCTCTGGGCTTTCAACAGTCCACAGTGAGGCCTAGTGCTTTAAGCCAGGGTTTCCAAAAAACATCTTAAGTTGTGAGGAAGCTTATAAGGCAGAGCTCTGTGAGTGTCCCCAGAGGCGACTCTCGTGCGGTCAGAAAGCTGACTGGGGACGGGGGTTTGGGAACAAGCAGCAGCCCAGGCCGCACAGCCTCAGAGCGGAAGTGGGGAAGTAGAGGCCTGGGAAGAGCAGCTCTTGGTGTTACACAACAGCAGTGTGCTTGCATGTGTGAGTGGGTGTGTTCTACGTGTGTATGAGTGTGTTGTTTACACTTTTGTGGGGGGTAAGGTAAAGTCTGAAGACTATGGTAACCTTGAACAGTAGCTTTTCCTAGTGGTTATGCTATCCAAATATAACCACTTGATACAATAAGGATATAATTCAGATTCTTTATTTTTAATTATTTTTTTAAATCAAGTTTTTTTTTACAGCAACTATATTATATTTCTTTGAATCACTGTGAAACAACTTATTAAGTCTATAGGGAAACAATTTCTAAAGCTAAAGAAGTAATTATGCTTGGAACAGACCCGGAGCCCGGCGAGTGAGTGAGACAACCCAGGCCGCGGGGTCCTGAACAGACCAGAGCGCAGGCCCGGCGAGTGAGTGAGACGACCCAGGCCGCGGGATCCTGAACAGACCAGAGCGCAGGCCCGGCGAGTGAGTGAGACTTCCCGGCCCAGGGATCCTCTTCTGACCCAGGCTGCAGGCCCAGCAGGGAACCCTTCAGCAGAACTCCCTGCAAGGAGGCT